TTGTATATCAGATTCCGTGTATATCAGATCCCGTGGGCCTTCCCTCTGTAAACAGATAGAATCCTTATGGGTCTGAATGTTATTGGACTCTAGCTTTCTTGAAATTCATATTTTTATTCCTTCATTCGTTTCCTCTATTAAATTTTTATATCCCAGAAATAAACTTGATAAGGCTGGGATGAAACCGGCTGTTTTTTAGCTTTTTAAAATGCCATATAAATTTTGCTTATTCCTAGCTATCATTAAATTTTGTACCATAAAAAAACTTATATAAATATATATGTGTGTATGTATATATGTATGTTTGTGTGTGTGTGTATATATATTAATGAATAAATAAAATATGATATAAATATTTATGAATAATATTTTTAAATATATGCAATTATAATATATGAATTGTATTAAATATTTATAAATAAAAAATATAATAATGATAAAATTAGTAGCACTCTCCAATAAAACAAAACATGTACCCCAAGTGTTAAGGGTTTCAGTAAGCAATGTTTATGTGTGTATGTATGTGTGTGTGTGCATGTTTGTGTATATGTTCACGCATACTTGTGAATGTATGCGTAATTAGAAAATTGTGAAAAACATTAGGAGGATTTCACGATTCAGAATTCAAGGGAGGTAATTACGGTTGTGAATTAAAGCATTACCATGAAAATTCAAGGGAGGTAAGGTTTTAAAAACTTTATTTAATTACAATACTGGAAGAAAATAGTTCAGTGGTAATTTTTGTTATTGAGTAACTTAAATTAGTGACAATAATATTCTTAAACTAAATTATATTTATAATTAACTTTCCCAAATTGTCCACTAATGACTCTATTACCTAATTTTCTTTTGAAACAGAAATAAAGTATAAAAAAAGCCTGGTACTTTTTACAACTTCATCATAAAAATAATATGAAAGGTTGAAATAATGCAAAACTTTACATGGGAAGTTACACTATATATGCAGACGTATGGAATGCATTAATACGCATCGTCCCATATTTGGTAGAAACTTGGTTAGTTGAAGAAACCTACAATTAATAACTAATTTTTCTTTAAAAATCTATTATTAATAGCGGAACTTTTTAGAAACTAAAATTAATAGCGAATTTTTCCATTTTTCTTAGTGCCATTTTTTATGGTGCACATTAATGGGTGAAGTATATTATATATTATATATATATTTTTAAACATCGACAAACCAGTGTCAAACACTATCATTACAAGATACAAGGGAAATAACTCATTGCAATTCTGTAATTTGAGTCTTTTAGCATTAACTCCCATACATGCTTCGTGTTGCTTTATACACACACGCACACACTTGTGTGTGTGTGTATGTGTAGTGCATATTTAGTGATGCTCGATATATAATAACTGCTAAAATTTAGTTGTGTGTGTGTGTATATATATCTATATATAGATTTCTTTAGTTTACTGCTACCAGCAAGCAGAAATATTTCTTCTTCCGATGATGGCCATTAAATGAAATAATAATAAAAAAAAAAAACGAAAGAATATTAATCTACAACCCAGTGTGTCTGAAGATTTCAATTTTTTTATATTTTTTTTATTGTTCATATATATATATATATATATATATATATATATATATACATTATGAACATTGAAATCAACATTCAAAGGCGACAGGTTGTTTCATGCTGGACGCGATCGTTAGGCCGCCTGACGATTGCGTCCAGCATGAAACAACCTGTCGCCTCTGAGTGTTGACGTCTATGTTCATTTTATATTTATATTTACATACGCTCTATCTCTGATATTGAACACTTTATTCCATAACTATAGTACACCTTAAAACTATATTTCTTCATATATATATATATATATATATATATATATATATATATATATATATATATATTTTTAGGCAGCAGTCTTTCATTGATAAATGTTTAATTAAAATGAAAAGGATGGATTTGTTTTCATTCCTTCTTATGAATTCTTGTTTACATAGCAGAAATTTTATGTTTGGGATTGATAAGTTTAAATATTGTTGAAAAGCGCTTAGCCACAAACATTTAGACAGTATTTGCAGTATTTTCCAAACTATGATCTGAAATTGGAATAAAAGCAACAATGGGGCAAACCCTGAATCTATCATAAAAATTCAGAATGTGGAATTAGTAAATATACTGATGAAGAGGACTATGCTGATGACAGATATTCATGGATGAGATAAGAATTATCTTGAACACGATATCAGCATCCATTACTAAATTTTTTAAGAAATAGGACTCAAGATAAACCTTTCCAAAACAGAAACTATGATCTAGAATTGGACTGAAAGCAGTGATGGCACTGATACCTTGAATCCATCATAAAAATTCAGGATGTGGAATTAGGTAAATACTAAACATGTCAGATATATCAGTGTATGGATCAGTTATGTCAAATTCAGTCTAAAAGGAAAGGATAAAAGGAAATTGATCATAGAATAGGCTGCACTAGATGTAGTTTCATCCAACACTGCAAATTGCTATAACCTGAAAACTAGTCATGTTCTTAAATAGCCTTGTCAGATCAAGACTTTCATATGGATGCCATGTATGGCATTACTCATTCAGAAATATCTAAACTATCAGCTGTATACATCAGCTTTCTATGATCAATAGCTAAAAATGGCTTGAGGAGGGGTCTGGAGTCATTACTTGGTGATAACAAATCTAATATAGGAGATAAGGAAATTGAACATAGAAGAGAGGTAATTTCACCAACACAGCAAATTGCTGCAAAACTTTGTGTGTGTGTGTGTGTGTGTGTGTGTGTGTGTGTGTGTGTGTGTGTGTGTGTGTGTGCATAAAATATATTTGGAAAGCAGGCTTTCTTTCAAACGTTTCTTTGGATATGACAGACAAAGAAAATTTGATGAATTTTATTTAATTTTTTAACATTCTTACATTTTTCCATTTGGTGGGAATATGCACTTCATCCGCTCATAATATATATATATATATATATATATATATATATATATATATATATATATATATATATATATATATAATATATATATCCAAATGTAAAAAGACACGAAGAGTAAGATTTCAGCGTTCAAAACATTACTTTAAAACAGGGCTCAATACAAAAGTAGAGAAATAAATATTTATTTATTATGCAGTGTTACATTAGAACATACATCGTGATTTCCCACCTGATGAAACGTTAAAACATTTTTTTAGCGTTGAAACAAGATGTACAGTTTTGTAGTGGGTATGTGCATGTTCTAAGGTAACACTGCATAATATATATATATATATATATATATATATATATATATATATATATATATATATATATAAGTTCGTTTGAATCTATTTGAGAAAAGTTAATTTAATGATGTTTCATTGTTCAGAAGGATTAAATCGGATATTCAGATGATAACGTAAGACTGTATTTCTTGTGCAACTGATATTTCAAATCGAGTAATGTTAATGGTCTTAACACTAGAATGAAAATATGTTTATGATGATATCTATATAGATTTAACGGTTTCATGGGAGAGGCGCCAAATTATTAGAAGGGACGCCATAAAAATAAGGATAATTTCTTTTCAGGAATCTGCCTCAAGATATATCTGTCCAGTATGTAATCAGATTCTTCTCTATTGTTAACCATATGAAGCGTCATGGCCAAAATGGAGAAGTGAAATTGCCTGAAATTAATAAATCAGCACCAAAAACTATTATGGTCCGCGTGTGCATTTAATACCAAATCATGAAAAGTCTTTGTTCTAACGGTCAAAGCATTCCACCCAGGGATAACACCGAGCCTATATGCCGCATATATTTATTTTAGTTGTTGCCAAAACTAACGTAGGTCACATAAGCCATTTGAGAACACACGAAAGATCCAAGCAACGGTTAATTTAAGAAGGTGATCATGATCGAAATCGAGTTGAAAGCCACCAATCACACACATACACACACACAATCATATATATTCTTCCTCTTTTTATTTGTGAGAGAAATATATAGAGAGAAAACGTTAGTAAAAGATAGAAAAAGAGATAATGATTTTAAAGGAAAACAAATTCTTTGTTTTAATTTGAATTCTGTTCTATTTATTTGTACATTGTTATTTTTATATTTTATTTTATTAGACTCACCACAATTCCAAATTAAAATGAAAGCGCACCCATGCGATAAACGGAAATTCTACACCTTTAAAGAAGAATACTTTCGTCGGGTTTTTTTTAAAGTTATATTCATAGTTTTTTTTCCTTGTATTTATTTCTTTATTGTATTTTGTTAAAATAAAACTGTAAAAAATACTGCAATTGCTCAAAAGAATAGGGCTAGGGGTAAAACCTCCCCGACTGCTACGACCCTGGTAACATAATTGATATATATATTTTTTTCATTTTAGAGCATCATATCTCAGTTTGTACATAGTAATTTATTTTGTATATAATTTTAATCAAATTTATTTTTATATCGCACATGTACGATTTAGTGTAAAATCAGTGTAAATTGTAAACGCAGTAGTTGCCTTATCTTATATTTTAATGTGTTAGAAATAGTCTTATTCAATTCACGAATCGACAGCCATCATCATACCATATATAGAGACATGAATATATATTGACAGACATTTACAAAATTTAGCTTTGAGACAAAGTCACAAGTGAAGATCGAACTCTCTACTTAGTAGTAATGGTCTGCCAGAGTATTCTACAAACCATTTCCGTGCCGTACGTGTTGGATTGATTGATGAATTTGTTTTTTACGGCTTATCAACCTTTTGCAGGTTATTTAAAGCCAGATAATAGTTTTTAGATTGTCAGAATTTTTTTGGAAATAATAAAGATCTACTGATATAAGTCCTGCTAATTAACCCATAGTTGGGGGTAAAGAGGTGGATTCACACCTTTCCAAAGGGTATTTGCGCATATGTGAATATAATGAACCTGTCTTGAATTTGAACTCGAGTCTCCCATTTCTAATTCCGTTATCCATTACACCACCCGCACACCCAAGCTTACAGCATCTGGTATTTCCAAGCGGTCACCCAACTAGGTACTGACCGGGCTCAACGTCGCTTAAGTTCGCTGATCGTACGGGGACCAGTGTTTCAACGTGATATATCCGTAAGCCTATTGATGTGTGGTTATAAGCCTTAAACTAACTTTTAGCAGATTACACTAGGCAATAACAAATATGTTTCTCAGGAAAAAAAACCTGATGCTACATTAGAATAAATCGAGTATACTGATTTCGAATCTGTATTCCAAATTGTCCGAATTGTCCGTAAACAGGGTCGAAGCATCTTCATTCCCTTTGTCAAATGGAAGTTCTGATCAGACAGCTTCTTCTTAAGGACAACTGCTTTGTGGAACATACTCCCAAGAGAGTGCTTCTTCAATCACTACAAAATTAATCTCTTCAAGTTTTGTCTAAACTATTATCTATCCTACAATTCTCAAGCATATAAAAAACTACATTCAGTAACTACTCTTGGGCCTTGTATTGGGTGAAAAATAGCGTAAAATATATATTTCATTGATAATTTTTCTTTTTTAAGATAGCCCAACTTTTATAACAAATGATTTCTCATAACTTATGTTCAATAATTTTCTTAAAAATAGACAAAATAATTAAACGAAGCATACAAAAAATAAACTATTAAAAAGTTACACGAAACAAATTTGATATCGAACATTATTGGCAAATCATTCACGCGAAGCAGGTCATGGTTTGAGTAAAATGAAAATCAATGTGAGTTCGAATTTCACCGGGAGTTTATCCTTTACTTTTTTGATCCTGCCCTCTCTGCTTATTGCCGTAGATTGACGGCATGAAGTTAAGATAAAAAAAAAAAACAACCTCTAAAAAAAGAAAACAAAATGAACATGTATTAAAAAAATGAGGAATTCTGAATAAATAAAAATACATTCAACGAAGATAAGGATAAAAAAATCAAATGTTTTATTAAATTTTGATTTTTTATATTGACAATTGTTTTTGTTGCAAGAGCTTTCTTTTCATTAAATAGACCAACAAAATTATACTTAAAATAACCCTTTTAATTTTCCGTCGATAATGTTACCTTTGACCCTTGCCCGGCCGCACTGACTGAGTGAATAAATAAACAAACGCTATCGTCTTTCCACTCAGGCATGTAAGTATTTCCCTCGCCGTTTGTCTAAAGTGGATGACACATGTCACGTGCCACTAGTTTGTCCTCTTGACACGCTGTTGACCTATTTCAATCAATCGACAAATGTCGGAAGAAGGCGCGACGCTTCTACTGTGGTCGTAAAGTGACCGGGGAAAGATTTAATTGGATTGCACGAGAAAGTGAAGGTCGGTATGTGGTTGGATGATGACGGGGAAGAAGCCGGACGCAAAATTGAGAAAGACAGAGAAAGAAAAGGAAAAGCAGTAGATAAGGGGATCGATTAGAAAGAAAGAAAGAAAGAAAGAAAGAAAGAAAGAAAGAAAGACAGGAAATTAGTGCGAGTTAGGCTAAATTAAATTCTCCCTATACCACTGAGAGGTTTGTAATTTACTTAAATTTTGAAATGTACCCCATCGTTTACTGTTAGCAGGTTGACAAGGTAGGTAAAAATTGATTTCATTGTTATTATAATTTGGTTTGGCTTGGCTTGGTTTGTTTTACGGCATATCAACCTCAGTGGGCTATTTAATGTCGACAAGATTTTTATTGTTGATAATATTTTTTTCAAAAAGTATTTCTGGTAATATTTTTTTCCAAAAATGTATTGCTGGCAATTTTTTTTTAAAACGTATTACTCGTAATATTTTTTTCCAAAAAAGTATTTTTTTTTAAGCATTTCACCCCAAGCAAGGCTGGAAGCCACTACAACGCAAGGGGTTACATAGGATTTGGAGCGAGAGCAGATAGGAGTGATAGAGGAAAGGATGAGGCGAAGGATAGTGGATAGATCATAGCAACTGGAGATGTCAATTGACATTACATTTGAATAGTTGGAGATTATAGCTATCAGGGAAACTGGAATAGGGAAGGGAGTCCCACAGGCGAGAGGTGCGAGATATGAAGCTATTGGAGTAGAAGAGGCGGCTACATTTAACAGTTTCAACAATGAAAGGACGAGAGCATGATGCCAGCCTCGTAGGGCGCTTGAATTCATGAAGTCTGGGAACCAGCGAAAGCACCTCATCGGAGCAATTACCATGAAAGTATTAGTAAAAAAGAGAGAGAGAGAGAGAGAGAGAGAGAGAGAGAGAGAGAGGCGACGGCACGTCTGTGAGGGAGCGACTGCAGACGAGGTGCCAGATCAGGGCCAATTGCATTGCATATCCGTCTCTGAATCAAGAACCCCGAGAGAAACAGAAGGGGCTCCAGACCATATATGGCAGCAATATATTGCTGGTAATAATGTATTGCTGGTAATCATTTTTTCTTCAAGAATTCATTGCTGGTAAAAATTTTTTTTCAAAAATGTATTGCTAGTGTTAAAACATATTTTTACACTTTCATAGTGTTTTGACCCCAGTTTAGGGGTTATCTATTTGCCCATAGTTGGGACCCTAACAGATGCTACCACCTCGAGTCAGGGATCTCCAACAATTAAGAGGTGGTTCTACGCCCCTCAAAACTTCCTGATCAAAGGCCTTGCTGTCGGAAGTAGTTTGTCGTCATAGCCAGTACATGGATGTAATTTGTCATCATACCCAGGACGCTATTACAATTTGTGCCAATTTAATCTTTTATAGAATTTGAATACACGTGTTATTTTAAACAACTGGGATAATGTATCAGTTGAAAGGCTTTAAAACCGAGGACGAATATTATAATAAAATTTCTTCTCCCAAGTGTTACTAACAAAGTATTGTTCGGTTGGCGGGGGCTTAGAATCGCCTGCAGAATGCTATTGAAAAAGGGGCCGCACTTAGCAAACTCAAGTATAAACCTGATCAATATTTGCGTACAGACCCAGTTATAGATTCGACATCTTATATTGAACTAGACCAGTTGCCATCCAAGGCAATAGAACCCAGTCTATTCTATTATTTACCCATAGCCGAGGGTAGAAGAAAAGGATTAATAACTTCCCAAGGGTGTTTAGCACGTAAGTGAATGTAATGGATTCAACTGGAATTCGAACTAGGCTCCGAATCTATGATAAAGAAAGCATGAAAACTTTTCCTAATTTGTCATAAGTTTCTCTAGAATATAATTTGCTATTTTTTTACGGCAAGGGTGCTCAGTATCATATTCTGTGTGTGTGTATAGGTACCTTCATGCGATTGCTAAAAAAAGAGCATAGTCTGATGAAAAAGACGCCAAACTTGACGAAAAAAAAATTTTATCGTCTAAATGCTTATGTTATTATTAAGAGGAAAGACCAAAGTATTTTTTAATCATTTAAAAAAAGTTTTTCCTTCTTTTTAGACAATTCTAAATTTTGATTAAAAAACCTTGTTTCTCTTTGTATCACCGGAACTAGTAAAATAATATCAATTTTTAGCGCGTTTTTTTTTTTTTTTTTTTTTTTTTTTGTATGACAGACATTAATTTGGAAAATCTTGCAAAAATAAAAATAATTGTCGGATGTTAATGAAACTTTCAGAAACTATTCACAAATTATGGAAATTATTATAAATATGTTTTCTTTTTTTAACGTCATAGAAAATTTTTTTTAATATTTATTACCCCTTCCCCCACCTAATTTTATGAAAACTCTAGAAATTCTTTACTGTTCAGTTTAGTGATTATATTAGTTGAAAGCACAAGTCTTTGAGGGAAGCAAATCATGTATTTTCTTTTTAATTGGATCCCCCACTACCTGAAAATCAGCTCTGAATTGTCAGATACAAAACTCAATAAAACAAACATTATTTAATTTCAAATGCTTTTATTTGCTTTTAGTTGTTTTTGTGAATATGGACAATATTTTCTGAAAGCAAAAAATTTTTCGATGAAAAATGAATTTTTAATACAATCATTTGTTATTTCTTTAATTATATTAGATTTTTACATTTAAGTTGTTAAAATATTATAAAATTAGTTGAAAGCCACATTCAGTTTCGTTAATATCCTTATGAGATAGATAATTTTTTAGCGCATCGTAAATTGTATCATTTTGACCAATCAGAAGACCCGTAGTAATTAAGAAATGTAATTTTGTGTTTATAATACGGCTGTAATTATAAAGTACGTCAGACCAACAAGAATACAATTAAGTTGCTTTATCTGAGTTAAGCATTGTTCTCCGTTGTTAGGCCTTTTTTGCGTAATAAGTGTGAAGAAGTTAATTCGATTTTTCAATTTCAACTGAGAAGGGTACCTATCAGTATCATCTTATGAAATTTATATGATCTTATTTTTATATTAATCTCAGTTATGACTTTTTCCATAAATGAAATATCAAAATTAATAATAAAATGAATGGAAATACAAATAACACAGTAAAATGTAATAAATGTACATAAAATTATAGTATTTTATGTACACTTCTGATAAAATTTCGTAAGAGATGTACCTATAAATTAATTAGATACCTTTCTTATGAAATTTAATCTCACTCCCAACAGTCTTATTTTAATTCATTTATAATATATTTTCCATAAATCATCGTAAACGTAAAGGTGAAAGCTAAGTACAAAAAAAAGAACAAGAAAAAAAAAAGAGCTCTGAAAGTTTTCCTTAAAAATAACGAGGTAAATAATTTGCTCACTTAAATCTAAATATTTTCACTTCTCTCCTTCCCTAGAAACACTTATCCTCGCGTAAGCTCTCAATACGTAATGAAATTGTCATTCATCACCTGTCAAGTGACGCGAAATGTTATGACCTGCTTTGTTTTATTTTCAAACTACATCTTTTCGGCGCAGAAAATAAGTAATGTTTGTTTCAAAATATTTTAAATAAACATTATAATTTCTGATTTTCTTAAAATAAATTTTGAAAAAATTATAATTGATTTTTAAAAGAATTTCAAACTGAGATTTTCATTTTTTTTATAAAATAGAAAAAATGGTTGACATGATTGATTATCTGTCAAATTTGCTGAGTAAAAAAAAAAAAACAAGATTTTTAACGAAAATTTTGGACGTGCTAGGAACGATTAAAAAATGTAAAAAATACCCCCCCAAATACTTTGA